TTTGTATGAGCTCCATACATAAGTGACAAAATGTTGTAATCCACCAACTCATAGAATTTCAACAGTTTCATTTGATTAAATAAAATACTTGATGGATGATAATAATGTTTTCTTGTGATAATTCTTACAACTCTTTTCTGCAATATAAAAATAGGCTTTGTAATTGATTTACACGCTTTTCCCCAAACATTAACACAATAAACCAAGTGTGGAACAACAATTGTATTATACAACAAAAACAATGCTTTATCATTGCTTTATCCAGGGGCGGACTGGGACAATAATCCAGGCCGGGAATTTCGATACCATCCCAGGCCACCACCACCTGATTAACGCAAACCACCAAGACTGAGTTCAATTGAGCGCACTTTGAATGCATGTTGTTTGCACACGTCTAAAAAGCCATCCATAATTTCCCATCTATTCATTTTCACTTATTGACTATTTATATGTATTGGCTATTCATATAACAAAAAAAAAGTTCTTAATCTCAACGGAACTTTACCTGGTAAAATAAAGTTTAAATAAAATATTGTAATACAAGGATTTTAATATTCAGATAATTTATTGGAGTAATGAAGGGTATACACAAAATATCCTCAATAATCCAGGTAGAAAATCTAAAAAAGTTAAGTCAGGTCCTCTGGACAGATTAAAAAAAAAAAAAACTTGTTGAAACGTTTAGTCTTTAATCCAAAAGACTGTCAGTTTGAGAAGCTGCAACAAACAGTTTCAAATAGTCTCTTTTCATAGTGGATCAACCAGTTTGTTGCTGACATCCAGAACTAGCTGTTAACATGATAAAGGAGGACCATCATCAGCCTAACAATGGATCGTTAGTGCTCTAGGCTGTTTGCTATTCACAGGGGGCTGAGAGATACCAGCAATAACAGCATTGTAAGAGGGCTACAGTTGGACACAGAGGCCTCTGTCCCTGTTTAATGATGGATGAGTTCTCATCACAAAGATGGCTTCCTTTACTCCTCTCTCAAACCAACACTTCTCTCTATCAAGGATGAGCACATCTTCATCCCTGAAAGTGACTGCTGGCCTGCAGATGAGTGTAAACCACAGAGTTCTCCTGGCCTGATGATGTTGCTCTTTGGCCCAGCACAGAAGAGCAACATCTTCAGGCCAAGACTCGGCAGTTTACACTCATCTGCAGGCCAGCAGTCACTTTCAGGGATGAAGATGTGCACATCCTTGATAGAGAGGAACTATGGTTTAAGAGAGGAGTAAAGGAAGCCATCTTTGTGAAAAGAAACCATTGTTAGGGGTTGTTAGGCTGCAGGTCTTCCTTATGTTAACAGCTAGTTCTGGATGTTAACAACAAACTGGTTGATCCACTATGAGAAGAGGCTATTTGAAACTGAGCTTGTTGCAACTCCTCAGACTGAACTTAGTTTTTTGGATTAAAGACAAAAGTTTCAACAAGTTTTTTTTTTATTTGTCCAGAGGACCTGACTTAACTTTTTTAGATACAAAAAAATCTGAATTCCTAGACATTTCAACATTAAACTTTTTTCAGATCCTAACCCATATTATAAAATTTGCAATATTCTTTGTAAAAACTTAAAAACATTTGTTATATTAAGTCAGTTTTGGCCCACTTAGGTCCCTCAAAGTGAAGCTAGCATGTGGATATTAAGCTGTGCTGATAAACTGTGCCAGAGTTCAATTTTTTCAACACAAGTGTTTCTCTTACCTGCTCCATTACGAACAAACATTAATTTATAGCACTTAGCAGCATCCGCGGCCAGAGCTTATCTCTTTTTTATCCTCTCTCTCTGCTCCACCTTTCCTCGCTGTTGCTCCATTCTACAACTCAGAGACGCACGCACCGCGCGCCAACACCGTCGGGAGCGCGAGTCCTAGGGCGGGGAGGGGGGCGGGTGCAATGTGTGTGTGTGTGTCTCTGCTCTGTGAGTGACACACAGAAAAGGAAGGGAGGGGGCCGGCCCGGCCGGGGGATGTGCCAGGCTTTCTCCATCGCTGCAGTGCAGCGTGAGACCTGAGCCCAGGCAAAAGTGAATTGTTTATTTAAAATAATAAAGTCCGTGCGACCCGAACCGAGCCTTTAGTCCCGTTCCTCGGCAACCAGGCCACCGGGAATTGTCCCGACGCTCCCGATGGCCAGTCCGCCTCTGGCTTTATCAAAATGCTTACAGCAGTTTCTGCAAATGTTATTTTATAAACTGTTGTCAATTTACACCAAAGAATCTGCTGCTATCAACATTTGCACTTGCAAATAACCATAGAAGTATGAAAAAAACCTTGTCATGCAAACTGAGGGAAAGTTAAAGGTTTCTAAAATGACATAAACCATTTTTTTATTTGAGATGAAATAGGTTTATTTTAAAGTGGTAATCCATTTTGGTGTTGGCCCTGCTCTGACTAGCCATCAGCTCATAAATTCAGTCAGAATTCAACTTGAGCTTTTTACAGGGGAACTGCATTTTTTTATGTTCAAAAGTTGTTGGTTTTTTGTTTGTTTGTTTGTTTTTGTTCTTTTTTTTTTTTCTTTTTTTTTTTGTCGCTTCAGCCTTGCAGCTACACAGAAAGAGTGTTTTCAGAGTCACAGAACTGTATTGTTTTTATGGCTTCCAGAGTAGAAAAAAATCTTGAAAGCCCAACCTTGCCATTGTGTGTAGGCAGCTAAAATACAACCTTTTAAATAAAGTGATGTCATAGCCCCATAGCCTAACCTAAAACTCATTCATTCAACCTTTACTTATAGTCTCACTGAGTCATAAGGACTCATTTTCAAGAGAGACCTGTTTTAGACAAAACTACAAATAAGGTACACACAACAATAAACAACAATTAGAAAGAGATTGAACAGACATGACTTCCTTGGAAGAGTTACAGGGTAAACATAAAATAAAAAAGCATGGCAGCACAATATAAGTTTGTAAAAGTTTCATCAGAATGAAGTATAAGAGTTCTGGAACAATGTATTTTGGGTTGATGAGACTAAACTAGACAGAGTAACAAAATAGGGATGTTGGTTTGGGCTACTTGCTCTCATTACGGTAAGTTGACCATGAACTCCTCAGTTGACCAAAGGTTTTTGGAGTCAAATGTGAGGTCATCTATCCAACAGCTAAAGTATAAACCAAACTGGGTCATGATGCAAAAGGTCAAAAGCCTATCAGGTTAACACCCATAATGGCACACTCCAAGGTTGCATTAGTGTTGCTGATGGTACAGATCCCAGTCGCTCACGTACAGTTAGACCTTTGTATACTGCATTACTTCAGTTAATAGACAAAGCTGCTGGACAAGAACATTTACCACATACTTGACTAACAACAAAGAAGTAAAATAAATGGCTGAGGGAATTAAAACTTTAGCTTTGGTATTTGCACTTTGTGCCCAGTGTGCAAGCTTTATGCACATGATGCGCGTCTTGTTTCCTGCTTTTTGTGTATTTCTGTGGCAGCGTTACAGCACCACATACTGGCCTGGCATAATTAGCACAGTGTTTTGGGTTGTGTTCTGTTTTTATGTGAATGAAGGCATTTCTAGAACTCGCACCATGTTTACAAGGGTGTTTATAGAAACTGTAGAGAAATATTGTTTTAGAAAAACTGTTTTTTCATGTGGATATATCTCTATTTCTATAACTGAAGGCCTTTAATTTGCTTTTTGGCAAACAAGATATTAATTGTCTATAAGCTTTCCAGTGAACCTCTGAAATACAGCTTTATTTTGTGGGTCCTCTACAGCACTGACATGTTAGAGGAGAGCCAGGATGGTATGGACAGTGGTACCTTAAGTCCTCCTTCAGCTCGACAGGTCACCATCAAGAGGCACCCAACTCAAGGCTTTGGCTTCATTGCAGGCAGCCAGAGGCCTGTCATTGTACGCTCCGTCTCTGCAGGTTAGTGTGCATGTATGTGCAAAAGAAAGACACCAGAATACAGCAAGAGCAACGGCTGAAGTTAAACATTCATTCATGCACGTGCATGTTTCATCTGCAGACGGCCCTTCCTTTGGAAAGCTTCTCCCCGGAGACCAGATCTTGGCCATTAACGAAGAGACGGTGAGCGACGCGCCCCGAGAGAGAGTCATAGACCTTGTAAGGTAACATCCTTTACTGTCCCAGGAGGGAGGGGGGAGGAAAGGGGGTCCCACAGGTCAGGTGATCAGCAGTATGACTTGGGTAAAGAGGGTTGGATCCAAAGGAACAAAGTGTTTCTTACTGCAGGTGATGCGTGACATCAACACAAACCTGTGGATGAGTCAGTCCTTTAGCAGCTAAAAACAACAAGAAACCAGCAGAGATAAACTCCTCTGTATGTTGTGCGCTGTCTGCACCGTTGTCTAACCCACTCCATTCTCTGCTGTCTCTCTGCAGACGCTGTAAAGAGACTATCGCTCTCACTGTGCTGCAGCCACATCAGGTAGTACAATGGGACACTCGTTCGCTTTCATCCTCTTCTCTCTCAAGATTTCCTCATTGGTCACAACGCTTCTTCCTTTCCTTTTGACTCGTACAGGGAGGAAGAAAACTGTACAGTTTTGTTTCAAAAGTGCACAGTAATTTAGTGAAGGCTTACGTTAGTATTCACGGCCATACTCTGGAGTCATTTCTTTTTCTGGTAACCCCTCAGTACTCCAGGTGGGCACATAAACACCCACGTGAGACTTTATCAAACAAGGGTTGTATGATGATGTATTAATCATTACTGAAACAATGAAAATGTACTATTTATCCTGTTGAATAATAGGTTCTTGTGTTGTTTTGTGTGTGTGTGACAAGAGAAGCATTGTGCTTAGACAAACAGTCCTAAACATTGCACATTTTTGCTGATGAAAAAACATGAAAACCTTACAGAGTACTGCAGTTGTTACCTTGCATTTATCTAACACACTTCTATACAGGGTAGCATAAGAGCTGAATTCTCTATAGGTGTCATCCTTCCGTCAGCCTTCCTTTACAGAATTATTCTCCTTTTCTTTCTTCTCATCCTCAGTCACCTAAGTCTGCCTTCATAAGTGCAGCCAAAAAGGCCCGCCTGCGAACAAACCCGCCTAAAGTGCGCTTTTCAGAGCAAGTGTCCATCAGTGACCCAGACTCAGTAAGTTTGCCTCGATGTGCGTCGTTGTTCTGTCCGCTTCTACTTTTTTCTTATTAAAAAAAAAAAAGCCACGAATGCATCTTTTTCCAAACATTTTGTTAATATGAGTGTGTTTGATAGACGAAGACTGCTTGAACTCTGAAATGATTTGTGACTGATTTAGATTGGCAGAAGTGCATCATGGCTGTGTCACCTATCTAAACTGTTTTAGTCCTGTAGGCTGTTTGTGCACAGTCTTGTGTTTTAGATGCAGAGGACACAGTAATCACACTTACAAGGATAAGCTACATTTACAAGCTATATAAACTATTTGTGTGGTACGTACAGTTCACAAAGATAGCGAGAGACATATTCAGTAGTGTCAGTTAAACACGGATAAAATGTTTTATCGGTCTAAAGTCTATTTACTTGAAATAAAATTGTTAAGATTAACACAGGCTGGCTCATCACATCCACCATGCCACAGTTTTCTGATTAGACCTCAAACAGGAAATCTGCTAATTTACAGGTATACAACAGTGTTGATAAGGCTCAACTTCAAAATCATCCAATTCTTCTATGATAATGTTCCTGTCGTTCCTGAGTTGCCAGGAGCAAAGAGGGATTTTTTTCAATCATATTTATGTAGCACAAAGTTGCACTTTCCCTCCCCCATTTGTTACTGTGAGCTGAGAGCTGTGATTATTGATCAGGCACTGTTAAAAGATACTAGACATAATGTCATGCTTTCTTCCTGTGTTGGGAATTGAAGTCTTGTGATCCTGTTTTATTTGTGCTGCCACGTTGTAGTTTTGGAATTAGTGTCTGCTTATTAATGATATGGGCCTTGAATTCCCACCTACTCCACTGCACACAATGCTGGTGTCACATGGCCTTTCTTTTAGCTAAATCAACAAGAGGCAAGGCCCTGCAAAATGATCTGAGTTTTTTTTTTTATTATTATTACCAAGGGCTGTGTTTCATTTTATTGCATAGACGGGGCAGGATTTAAAACTTGTACTGCACCCAGCCTCTTGTTATATTAAATATTGGTATTGCTTGCCACCATGAAAGCCAACTGACTGTTCAATTGTGTGTACATTTGTTAGTTAGCCAAACATCTCATGACCCTTTAGACAGATTTTAGTGAAACTCAGAACGTTTTAATTGCATGTACATTCAAAACTCATTAACTTGTAGGATCAACTCTATTTAAGATGGCTACCATGACTGATCAACCTTACTAAATCCAAAAATTATTATAACTCAGTCAGTCTTGCAGACATCAAGCGATAAGTGGGTGTGGTATTCCCTGAGAGTACATAACTTTGAGTAGCATATTCTATTCTAAGCACTAACATATGTGTAAAATCTCGTTTAAAACTGTGGTCTTAAATGTTGAAGTCAACCTTGTCCATCTGTTAGCAGAATATATTTTATTGGCACTCTCAGAAAGTAATCAGTGGATGAACATGTACAACTGATGAACTTTTACAGATTGAAGAGATTTGGAGATTCAAGATTGCTGGTACAGCTGAGCAACGTTAACAATCACAAAATGAAACACAAAATTAAGCCAATTTGACAGATACTGAACTAACATTGGATATGTTCGGAGCTGAACACTGTCACCAATGTATGCACTAAATGTTGAGAGAGAATCTAAATTTAAACGTTGGAAGCAAGTCAGCAGGCAGTATGTATTTCTTTGAGGAATCCTACTTTGTTTGGTTTGTTTGTTTGTTTGTTTGTTTGTTTGTTTGTTTGTTTGTTTTTAATCAAGTATTTTATTGAATTTTTGATTTTTTTTTAACATACAACAAAAAAAGAAAAAACATAGAACAAACACCCACCACCACCACCCCTTCCTTCCCACTCCGGATCATTCACACACACAAATGCATTAAACAGGCACTGACATGTTTTCTACATACAACACAAAAGGCTGCCAAGTGTCCCAAAATCTTTTGACAGAACCCTTCAGGGTTTATCAGATTTTTTCTAGATGAATATGATAGATCACTTCTCTTATCCAATGTACATATGCTGGGGGGGGGGGGGGGGGTCCTTCCAACTGCACAAAACAAGTCTCCTGGTCAGAAGAAAGCCAAAAGCAATCACATCCTTCTCATACGTGCTGAGGACGTATCCACAGGGACCACATCGAACAGTGAAATGAGTGGTGATGGGTGCACAGTTTTCCCACATATCCCAGAGAAGGTGTCAAAAATAGATTGCCAAAAAGTCAGCAGCTTGGGACAGGTTCAGAATGTAAGCAGGAGTGTAGCTGGAGTTTGTTTACAATGATTACATGCGGGGTCCATGTAGGCTTTGATCTTGGTCAGCTTGTCTTTGAACCAGTGCAGCCTGTGCACCATCTTGAATTACAGCATGCCTCAGACAGATTGAGGATGAGTAAATGTTCTTAATGATATTTCACCGAATTGAGTCCTATGGATTCCTGCAAGTACACTTCCCATTTCAGTTTAAGAGAGTCCAAACTGGACTCATGGTATGAACTGAGCAGCTACTTTGTTTTTTTATACCATTATAGCTATACTTATTATTATAAGACTATTTAGATATGGAAGTAACAGTTTTTAAATACAGGCATTTAGATCATATGATTTATTTAACTTTTACAATTTTAGTTCTATTACATTAAATTATGACGTTTCATCAGGATCAGCCCATAACAGCCCATGCTGACAGGAAACAAAACAACTGGTTTTGATTAGCTTTTCTTTATCGTTTACTCTGATCTATGTTTGCTGCTGATCAGCATCATCAAAATTCTGTTTGGCCTTGTTATAACTCAAGGCAGTTGAGGCAACTTCTCGAAAGACACATTTTGTGTGATTGTGCCTCTCCTTATTTAGGAACAGAGGTTGTAGTGTGTTGTGTGAAGTGATAGCCCTAGATTTTGCACCCTTAACATATGGGGGAAAAAATTTGTTTTCACACAAACTTTACTCACTTCCTGCCAGCAAAACAGAACAGACTGCTCTCGAATCTTTAATTTTCTCAAAACAAACTGCCAGGCATCTGTTGCGAACACAGATTTCCATTTCAAGTAAATGGGCTTTATGAAATATGTTGTGTGAAATCGTCTTCCACTTGTTTTGATCCCTGTTCAATTTTTCCCCCCACAAATCTCACAGTTAGTTCAAATCTAATTTGTCTTGGTCATGGATCAGCATTGTTGCCTCATACTGTATTAAAATTCACAGTTTTATCTTATTACATTAGAAAGTCTGCTTTTCTTTTGATCACAAATGTAACTTCAATTTGAGCTACAAACCATTTTATTTAAAAAAAAAAATGGCAAGATTAAAAATAAAATAAATTAAAAGGTGACAGCGAGTGGCGAGTCCCTCTTTCATTTGATCCGAGCCAGACAGAATATCAGAACTTTTCTCTTTAGGAGTGTTTTGCGTAACGGCAGTGTGCTTAGAGCCCAACTTTCCTCTCTTGGTTTCTCTCACACAATTCTATGGGGAATGCTTTCAATCCCACCATCCAATTTTCTTTGCAGGGCATAAATATTAAATGGGCAGACCAGAGAAATTGAATAATCCCTTCTTTGATCATAACACAATGCATGGGGTAGCTATCTTCAGGCACAGTTTGTGACCCTTTCTCAGACATTTTTTCCTTGTTCACAAAGGACATTTTGTGTCGTTCTTTGCTACTTCCTATTGATTTTCCCTGTTTAGTGCAGAACAACCACTGCATTTGATTGTTTTCATCCCTGCTGCCTATTTTTAACACATTATCACAGTCCTTTAAATCTAAACTAGGCTATTTTCTCCTTTTACATCTTTCAGACAATGCTAAAGGACGACTCCTTGCTACTCATACCAAATGTGCTGAAGGTGTTCTTGGAGAATGGACAGATTAAGTCTTTTACGTTTGACAGCCGCACCACCGTTCGGGTACGTACAAAGGCTACTGAATCCCAGTATCACTGTGAGACTGCCTTAACTTAGCTGTGGTCAACAATTTTATACCAGTCATGGTTCAAATGACCTTCTCTGTGTGTAATGATGCAGCAGCATCACTGGCATTTAGACTGTTTACTCTTGTAGAATGAACATATGCAGATATATATTCATAAATTAAACGGATTCTTTCATTTTTCTGGACTGTATAATATCGTGCATTGAATTTAATAAAAATGTGGATGGAAACGTTAATTCTCTTTGACTCACCAACGACAGTGGGTCATTTATTAACAGAATCAAGTTTAACACATCACACATTTACATTAATTGGCAAAAATTGAAAATAACAACAGCTTATTTAGCAAGTTTTACAAGGAGTAAACAATACGGCGATTGTTTTCTCACTTCCAGCAGTACAACAGACATTAACCACACGGCGGTGGTTGAAAAACTTTGCTTCAGACATTTCTAAAAATATCTGGAATGATTTCTTAGCAGGATAGAAGAATTTTAAAGATGGGAAATGAAGTTTAAGTTGAGAGAGATGGGGAGGGAATTTGTCTGTTATAACCAGAAACAGCACGCTCCTTCTAGACCAGCTTGACCCAACGGTACGCTTTGGTTGAGATCGACTCTTTTACCTTTAGATGATAGTTTCAGCGTTGGTGTAGAGCTCTCCTTTCAACTCTTTCAGCGTCTCCGTAAGAACAGCTAAACCTTGGGAGTCGTGAGATCATCCAGAACAGACATTTCATAATTCCCTGATCTTCTCTCGTTCAGCTTGATTTTTCTTCCTCCAGCATCCTGAATTCCAGCCTTCTGAACTCTGGAACTTCTGAGGTTCAGAACTGCAGAACTGCTCGAGCTCCTGCAGAACTTCTTCATCTACAGTGAACTAGGAAGTGTTGCACCTTTTAAAAGAGCTCACTTCCGGTTCATTTGAGAACTTTCTGATTGGTCGATTGACCAAAACAGAGGTGTGTTTTGTGATGTAAGAGGTTATTAAAAAGTCAAGGAAAAAGATTAAGATTGTTTAAGAACAGACAAAAGATATTATGAAGAACTCAGACTTCGTGGAGTCAATTCTCTAGTATCTTGCTGTAAAAGTTAAACATGACATTTCTTTTTCAGTAAACTTGCAGTTGACCGAAACTTGAACTTTGACCAACTTACACAACTTGCTCATTTCAAACAGACGATCAAGAAATTGAATCATTACTCTGTAACATATTCCAACTTGATTTCCACTTTGAATGAGGATTAAAAATCGTTATTACTGTTTCACAGTTGATTTAAAAATGAGTAGTTCACTTCAACATTTAAACATTGTTTGAACTAACACAATTTGATTATCAAACATTTGTAAAATAGTAATGATAATAGAGAATAGTCTTCTTTCACTTGATTAATTCAAGAAAGAAAGTCTCAGGATGGGTCAACCTGTATTTCTGGATTCAAATCAATGAAATGACAGTTTCTGTCCCATAAGATCCTTAAGGTCAGGATTTGACCTCAGGCCTAGTTCACTACACTCTCATCAATGTCTTTTTCCACTTTTTCAGCTGCGGCAGGTAGCTGTTCAAGGGAAAAAGAGAGCGAGACAGAAAATAAAAGTGCTTTAAAGCTACCGTTACTCAGCTGTAAATGACAAATGAAGCTTCCAACTTGGGATCATAACTGAACATTTAGCTTTCAAAACATCAAACAAATTCATCTGCGGGGTGTTAAAGACTAATATGAGGGGAAGTTATTATTGGAATTGCATTTATCAGGTAATGCATAATGAATGAATGAATGAGTGACAGTATATAAAGGGTTGCGTTTACAGCTTCAAGCACCACCACTCATCCTGACAAAGTAATCAATGATTGTGGTCTTACGCACTATAAATAAATTAAATTGTGTGGGGTTTTTAGGCTATCTAATAAAAGTACATTTGGATTGATTTGTAATATTACAAGAAAAAATCCCTCCACATCTGTTTTGGTGCTGAAAGACTAGTGAAAATAAATAATGAAGTCTGACTCACATATCAAAGTTTGACATATACAAAACTAAAAAAATAAATCACTCGTGTCAAAAGTCCTGTCAAGTGTCCATCAGCTACCTCATTAGTTTGAGAAAATACAAAGAAAAACAACTTGCTTCATCAGTTCCCAGAACACAAAGAATCGTTAATGTCATTAAGCTCACCAGGAAATAAATGAACTTAGTCAGGCAGAAGTCATTTTTGTCGTCATGCTGGCCCATAAGAAGAGGCTGACGTCTCGTATTAGACCTATTAAATGTGCTCCATTACATTTTACAAATCTCCCTCCTGCTCATGGGAGACTATAGAGAAACACAGAGGCTCTTTTAAGGAAAGATGGATGATGCTCTCTCCTGTCAGTCTAATTGAATGAAATTTCAGCATAATAAGAAAGCTCAGATCAATATTATAGTGCCACAGATTAAATCAATGGCACAGTCCGATACCCAGTTGTGTGCCCATTAGACTGCCTCATCAAGCCAGGAGGCTACTATCAATGAGGCCTTCAGCTGATTGTGTGTCCTTAAATGAAAATCACACGTGTCAATACAGTTTAAACTATCTTTGTTTCTCACGCACAGCTTTTGTTTGAATTCTTTATGGAAAGTAAATTGTTAGCATGCAAGCTTGATTTTTCTGCTCCTAATGAGCGTTCCTACAGATAATAACAGCCAAAATGATGACATATGACTGATAAAAGCCGATTTTAGTCCGTCTTTTTGAAATATCATAAGGGCAGAGAAGTAAGAAAATTTCATCCTGAGGCGAAGCCTTTTCTAAGATGTGATAAGCTATGAGTTTTTCTTTAGATTGAGCTTTCTGTGCATTGTAGGAAGCAGATATGATAAAATCTCCCCATCATTCATAGATACTAATCAGCAGAAGGGCAATATTTTGCCCTACACATCCCAACACCGACAATATTTTCTTGAGCTAGATCCACTTACTGAGTATCATAGAGACTCTTTATAAAAGCTCTCTATTGCTCAAAGCAAAAAGCGTATTTGTAAAGTAATGAGCCCGTTTAGAAATTATTCCACGAAAGAAAATCTGTTTCTCTAACCACGTTCCATGTATCAATGCAGTGTATTTATCTGGTAGTGTGAATGTATTTTATCTAGTCAAATGTATTCAGGTCTCTCATCTGCTTCCATCTGTTTCCTTCCAGGATGTAATCTCCTCCCTGCAGGACCGGCTCTCGCTGCGCTACATTGAGCACTTTGCTTTGGTGTTGGAGGCAGGTGGTCTGGACCAGAATCAGAAGTTGCATCTGCTGCAGGAAAACCAGCCGCTGACACATGTAAGAAACCATTAATCTGGAGTGTCAGCAGGTTTTGTGTAAAAACTGTTTGAATGAGGTGGCTTTAAGGCATTGGAAGGATGAAAGATACAACAGCAACTCAGCACTAGCATGATGACAAATCACATTATACTTTAAAAGTCCTGCACAGAAAGTAAGCATCCAACCAAAAAAAAAAAAAAGAAAGATAATAGTAAACACAAATGCATGCAAAAGAAATTACTGCATTCAAATCAGGTTTTTGTGGGGTTTCAGGCCATCACAGACGGTCAGTGTGCAAATTTCCTCCTCAGAAGAATCAGTTCAAAAGTTCAGTTCACACAAATTAAAACTGTTTTTTTTTTACTAACTTTTTTACTTTAACTAAATTTACAGTACTAACATGAACCAGCTCATGTTCTATATGTCTTATAAAAATAAATATTTATATAGATGACATCATGACTTTAAAAAGCCTATTGTTTGTATCATCACACTGAAGTTCTAATCCGCTACTTAGACTACAAGTATGTCTTGAAGACATAAAAACCTGGATGACCCTAAATTTTCTGATTCTGAACACAGACAAGACTGAGGTTTTGTTTTTTAGACCTGAGCATTTTAGGAATAAATTTTTCATTCTTTTGCCCTCCTTGGATGGCATTAATCTGTCCTCCAGCTCTAATATAAAAAACTTTGTGTTATTTTTTTATCAGGACAAGTTTTTTTATCCCCCACATTAAAAACGTTACTAGAACCACCTGCATAATATCACTAAAATTAGAAATATCTTATCTAAAACTGATGCAGAAAAACTGGTCCATGCATTTGTCATGTCTAGACTGGATTATTGCAACGGTTTATTATTAAAAAGTCTTCAGTTGATCCAAAATGCTGCTGCCAGAGTCTTAACTGGAGTTAGTAGGAGAGATCATATCTCTCCAGTTTTAGCTTCTCTCCACTGGCTCCCTGACAAATACAGAATTGGATTCAAAATCTTACTTCTAACCTACAAAGCTCTCAACAACCTAGCTCCATCTTATTTTACAGATCTTGTTGTTCCATATTTTCCTAACAGAGCACTTCGCTGTCAGACTGCAGGCTTACTCGCGGTCTCTAGAGTTTCTAAAAGCAGAATGGGAGGAAGATCTTTCAGTTATCAGGCTCCTCTCTTGTGGAACAAACTTCCAGTTTCTGTTTGTAAAGCTGACGCATTGTCCAGTTTTAAGACTGGGCTTAAGACTTTCCTTTTTGATAAATCCTATAGTTAGGTTTGGCTTATGCTGCTATAGACAGACTACTGGAGGACAAATTTACCTAATTTCCTTAAATTAATTTTAAATATTGAATAGTTTTCATTTGATACTATTTATAACGTGTAATTCTTGACCTGCCATTGTGTATCTGTTCCTTTCAAACCCAGCCAGTCGAAGCGGTCGCTTGTCTTGAGCCTGGTTCTGCTAAAGGTTTCTCCTCATGAAGGAGTTTTTACTTTCCACTGTTGCCTTCATGTTTGCTCAACATGAGAGTTCTGTGATAAAGTTAAATTCAAAACAGTCCTCAGATAAATAATATTATTAACTTACTTTTTTATATATTTGAATGTTTCTGTTCAGTGCCCTGAGATGACTTCTGTTGTGACTTGGCACTTTATAAATAAGTTGAATTGAATTGAAGTGGGGCAGCACGGTGGCGCAACTGGTAGAGCTGCTGCCTCTCAGCGAGCAGGTCCTTGGTTCAAGCCCCGGGCCAGGGGCCTTTCTGGGTGGAGTTTGCATGTTCTCTCCGTGCATGCGTGGGTTTTCTCCAGTTACTCCAGTTTCCTCCCACAGACCAAAAACATGCGTGTTAGGCTGATTGGTAACTCTAAATTGTCCCTAGGTGTGAGTGAGAGAGTGAATGGTTGTTTGTCTCGTTTGTCTCGATGTGTCTCTGTGATGAACTGGAGACCTGTCCAGGGTGTACCCCGCCCCTCGCACAGTGATTGCTGGACATGGGCACCGGCGACCCCCGTGACCCAAAATGGAAGAAGCGGGTAAAAGATAATGGATGGATGAATTGAAGTGCAACCAGATCACTGCCAATTTTTTTACATCTATATGCTTCCCACCCGTTCCCTGCATCACGACGTACTTTGTACATTGTTTGGCTAAACTTATAATCAAGATGCTTTCATTTCTGTATTTTTTTGTTTTTATTGACAGAAAAATATTAAAGTAATATTAAGAGGTTCCTTAAAAAATCTTCCTTAAACAACTGCAAGCTTGATGGTTTACTTTGCTAATATAATACTGATTTTGTTTTAACTAAGGTTGTCTGAAAAAGCCTTCCCTCAAAAGCTACATGTGTGTCTTTGTTTTAATTCTAAAATGCAAAGTGAGTATTTCCCCCTAAAAAAATGTTATTCTTCTGTTCTTTTCTCCCTCAATCTCAAACTCGGTGAGATCAGAACTCAATCTGTGTTGGACCTGGCATGCAGACTTGGCATAATCTTTCATCCTAGACAGTGAAGCCATGAACCAAGGCATTCAGTTTACGCTGCTTATTCACTGAAAACTAAAGTAGCATTCCTCAAATGAGTGCATATTAATGGTGCCTTGCATACCAAAGATTTTGCACAATTTGTTAACGGTTGGAGTCTACATTGTTGAGTCTAAGCTACCAGCACACCAAATCTTAACTCACTATCTGTAAATCAATTAAGTTGTAGCAATTTTGGGGTTTGCTAAGGTTGATTAACTGTGGGAGCCATCTGGAATCAGGTTAACTCCAAAAGTTAATCAGTTGTAGATGTACATCCAATTATTACTTTCTTGAAGTATCATTAAAATGTGTTCAGTGATTTATGAGAAATTTTACTAACTTATAGACAAATGATCTCTCTCTCAGTCACACACACATAATCAGCCTCCTTTCGTGGCAGGAGGTGATAACAATCGTATATAATAATCTAATTTAATGTCTCCAGAATGATCTGTGCACAGTTCCAGTTCATCACTTATCAAACAGCCTTGTTAAGGTCAAAGTTCACAGAAGATATGAATGACACTCATGAAAGTGCTCATTTGAATGCATTTGAGCAGAACACTGCAGACTATAAAGTTAAAAAATACAAGTGGAGGTCACCTCCTCCTCCCTCCCCAACAGGCTGAATGAATTTTATGACCAGTTTGCATAACAACCCAAATGTGGAATAGCTTCACCTGTCAACCAACATGGCTGCCTCGTCTCATGGCAACTGTTGTATAGACACAAGAAACGTGTTTTATTTTGAATTTAATCAATTCATAATTTCAAAGGGCCTATAATATATGTGGGTTAATGCTGGATAGACATTAGTACGAAATGATTTTAAATTTGAGGACTAACAACTTTATTTCTTTATATCTATTAATTTATATGGATATCATTTACACTTGTAGTGTTTTGCACTGGTCTTGTTTTGTGGTGGTGGTGGTGGGGTTCCATATCTGCACTCATTCATGAGACATGAGGCACAGTTTTATCCCTCTGTACTTTAAATACATAATGTCAGTGGCAACGTATTTATATAGCACATAAAAACAACAAAAGCTGACCAATGTGCTTTACAGTTAAGACAGATAAAAAGAGTAAAAAATGTGCCACTCAAAAACATAAGAAAGTCAACAGTAAATACAACGCACAACAACAATAAAAATCAGCTCAACGTTTGTTCTCAGACTCTGCGTGGATCAAATGCCAACGAGTACAGATGAGTCTTAAACAAAATGCTGTTGGTATGCATGATAACATCGTTACACCCGTCAGGTGGCTTCTTAAATTTACACTTTGAATATTGTTTTCAATCTGTTTACAAATATTAATTGTTTTAGGCCTCTAATTTTCCCTGCATTCATTTTTATCTTAATTTGTATTTGCTGCACATAATTCATTGTAGCAATACAAAAACAAAGAAAACACTGCATTCAGAGGTCAATCTTCTGTCTTCACTATAGTCAGATGATCCTCGGATACATTCCGTGACTGAACATATAGCTGTCACCAAACTGACTGAGTCATATTTTCACAGGTGGTGCACAGAACATACTTCCAAGGGATGAAGTGTCTTTTCCGCATCTGTTTCTTCCCAAAGGACCCTGCAGACCTGTTGAGACGAGACCCTGCTGCATTTGAGTACCTCTATATACAGGTAAAGCATGGGATTATATGAGGGGTGGGGGGATTTAAACAGATGTCGTTCAATCTCAGATACCGGCTGTCTCTTTCAAGTAAAGCCGGTGACAAGTGGGAACCAAAGCTTTTAAGTTCCTTGAGAAAGCCGGCGTTGGTTTTAGTTTTTATTATGGCTTGTACTGTATACTTTTGTGACCTTTGATTGATTTTGAGTTGAAAATAACTGTTATGTAGGACATACTATAAGACTTTAAAAACATTTTAATACACTCATTATGGACATGACTGGCATATAAATGTTGGGGTTTTAATAATGATGGATTTTTTCAACTGTTTTTTTCCACAGGCTGTTGTGTCTACGTATCATACAATTAGGTTAGGCCTTTGATAAGGCTACTCCATTAGCCTAACGTTAGCTGCTTTATTCAGTCACGGTTATGATGAGTGTTTGGCATAGGCGTCACCACAATTATATGTGAATGGGACATGTCCCCCCCCCCACACACACACACACACACACACACACACGCGCACACACACATTTACCATGAAATATTAGTTCATCCAGAGCTGTTTCTATTTCTTCCTGAATGAATTCAGTCAACTTGATTTATAGGAAAATACTCAAACCACTTGGGGGAGGTTAGGATGCGTGAGAGAAGTAGAGCATGCTCTATTCACACAAGGAGTGCTGTTGGTCAGGCTACTTCTTGTTGTGCCGTGCTCAAAATAGTTATTGAATCAAGTGCTTACATACCGTATTTTCCTGCGTATAAGTTACAGTTTTTTTGCATAAATTTCAGTCCTGCGACTTATACACTGAAGTGACTTATATACGTTTAATTTTCCATATTCATAACGCATTTTTATGACTGATACTTTAAATATTGACCATTAACAATTGACCATTAAATAAATGCATAATAAACACAACGGGTCAGCAGTGATGCATAATAAATGCGACTTATACGCCAAAGCGAGTTGTATATGTTTTTTCCTCTTCGTGACACTTTTTTTGACTGATGTGACTTATACTCCGGAAAATACGCTAGTAAACATAGATGTTTAACGACCCGTTAAAATACACCAGAATGCAGGAAATGGCATCTACATTATTAAAATTTTGGGGGGAAGGACCCTCAGACCCCCCCACCACCTCCCCCAGCCCCCCCCCCCCCCCCCACACACACACACACACACACACACACACACATTACAAATGCTTCTGATGCCAATGGTGTTTGGGATCATTGTCCCATTGGGCCACCCAGCTGTGTCCAAGTTTCAACCATCAGGCAGTTGATTAGAGGCTAAATTAAAAAATAAAAATGTAAGTGGTGGTTCTTTATTATTGTTCCATGCACTTTATACAATTGACCAGTACCAACACATGATGCTACCAACTCATGATTCATGGTTTGTATATTGCTTTTTGATTTGAAAGCCTCCCTTTGACTCCTCTAAACAGAATTTTTGTCATTGTGGCCAAATCGTTCTATCTTTGTCTTGTTTGCCTATGAAGTTTCTTGGGAAGACATTTGTGCAGCTAAGAATTTCAATTGAGCCTGAAGTTGGTGTTTTAGTGGCTTGGTTTCCTTCTTGGTGAGAGGTGATGCAACTTACTACTTTGTGGACAGTGACCCTGGTGTTTCAGCAGTTTTCAGTTCATGACAGGCTTGAGCCTTGGTGGTTAATGAATTGTCCCTGAACATTCTAACCAATTTTATTTCAGTATGAGTATTAGTCATTCCAATAGGTACTTTCAAATAGTTTATATGCTGGCTAAGGGAAACTACCAGCTGCAGAGTATCATGATTACCAACAAGAACTTCATAGATCTTTGCCTTGTCTTATTAAAATGTATTCAAAAAATTTCAGCACCATTTATTAACAGATGTAGGTCAATCCACGTATGTATATATATTAGCCAGTGTGTATAATTTAGCAAAATCCACTATAAATTCAAGCTTGTGTGTCTAATATTTTTTTTGTCATTCAAGTTGTATGTTTTATAATCACTCGCTGGGAGGGTGAAAAGTCCACCTGTCTCCAGTCCTTCCTCCAGACCTCTAATTGAGAGGGTGGGGAGTGAGGCTGCTAGCTAACTCTTAGTTGGAGGCGGAAACGTCCAAGACCTGCCTAGCACCAAAAAGAAGAAACAAAAGCCTACCTGCGTGTTCTGCTCCGAGGCAGCTTTCGCAGATGGTGTGCAGACCAGCGCTGAGGATATATCCCGTCTGCTAACATCTTCTTCTGGTCTTAGTTTTCTTATGTTGCTTGCTAGCTGAAGAAAAAGGGAAGCTGAACCCTGGTCTCAGGGCTATTTATACTGACTGGGGGTGGGGCCCACACAGCAGGTGGGCGTGGACTAAAGATTTCGGTGCTGGTGCACTACGCACGGGATGAACCCGCTAGCGACAGCCTTAAAGGGCTATGCTTATACTCGTAGAATCTGGAGTTACCAATATATTAACCAATATTTTATAATCATAATTAGCCCAGCCTTGAAAAAGTTTGGTCATATTAGTTATTAATAGCCCATAATTAATAAAACATTCATGCTCATGAGCAGTGTATATAAATTTCTGACCACAATTGTAATAAATTAGTCATGAGCTTTTCTAAATTCAATAACAGCAAATATCTCATCTAAATAATTCTGAACCTTTTGTTGGCAGTTTACCCAGAGATCAAGTTACATAATCTTCTAATAAAGTTTCTCTTTGCATTCAGCCAGAAACCCATAATTCTCAGTCGGGTCATCTGGACAGTTTCTTTTTTATAGAGACGTTTCTCCCTCTATCTGGAGGGCTTCATCAGTCAGAGGAGTTCCAGTAAACTGTTTCCCCACAAAGTAGTAACCTCCTTAAGTGGACCAACCAGTTTGCTGGAGCTAAGATGGTTTCTGGGGGCCGTCCTTTCCCTCGTCGACTCTTCCCAGGCAGGCAGCCACAGCCGAAGTGGTTCAAGGCGACAAAGTTCATGCTCAATCATCCAGGTACCAAATCCAATAATTCTCACTCGGGTCATCTGGACAGTTTCTTTTTTATAGAGACGTTTCACCCTCTATCCGGAGGGCTTCATCAATCAGAGGAGTTCCAGTAAACTGTTTCCCCACAAAGTAGTAAACTCCTTAAGAAACTGTCCAGATGACCCGACTGAGAATTATTGAATTTGGTACCTGGATGATTGAGCATGAACTTTGTCGCCTTGAACCACTTCGGCTGTGGCTGCCTGCCTGGGAAGAGTCGACGAGGGACAGGACGGCCCCCAGAAACCATCTTAGCTCCAGCAAACTGGTTGGTCCACTTAAGGAGTTTACTACTTTGTGGGGAAACAGTTTACTGGAACTCCTCTGACTGATGAAGCCCTCCGGATAGAGGGCAAAATGTCTCTATAAAAAAGAAACTGTCCAGATGACCCAACTGGGAATTATTGGATTTGGTACCTGGATGATTGAGCATGAATTTTGTTGTCATTCAGCCAGAAACAAACAAACAAACAAAATTTTTTTTGTCATATCCTCACAGAGTCGCAATGACGTCATCAAGGAGCGCTTTGGCATGGACTGGAAATCTGACATCACGTTACGATTGGCGGCGCTCCACATCTACATCACTGTGTCCTCCGCGAGGCCTAATCAGAAGATCTCCCTCAAATACGTTGAGTAAGTCCACAAAGTCTATTAACGAACGCGAGTGGCATATCAATGAGTTCCATATAGTGAAGCGTGTTCGTTCAATAATATCTGAAGGATTAATAATTAATCCCAACAGTATTAAAAATTCCAATTACTCAAGGACAATTTTCCCTAGGTAGTTATCTATTGCAAAATTCAGTGCTTTGCAAAATTACATCCCTCAGAATTTGTGAATTTACTTTTCTAAACCTCAACCTTGCGAGTAATTAGCTTTTGCTATCACAGCCACAGAAGCAGAGCTGGTTCAGTGTTTGTAATTGACTAAGGATGGATATGATAACCCAGGAGTTATAGAGAATGGAAGCTAGGCTAAACAGGTCTTCTCATGCAAATACAAAAAAATAATAATAATAATCTCAGAATCAGCTGCTTTTCAGTGTTTTCTCTTTTGTGTACTGAAATCTGCAGTTTTTCTTTTTCTCTCAATCACAGGAAAGAGTGGGGACTTGAACCTTTCCTTCCACTGACTTTGCTTCCCACAGTGAAGGAGAAGAATGTGTGTAAAACCCTGTCACAGCTGCTGAAAACATACCAACATCCACCTCCGTCAGGCAACAAGGTGTGTATCAATTTTATATCATAAAGATAAGTTTTATTTATAAAATAAATAAATCCTAATCTCATCTAATTTAGATACTGGTAATTGCAATTAACTTTTATTTTTCAGCATTTTGCAGCTTAAATACAGGTCATTTTATTGTACTGTTTTATCTGGTTATGTTTGCTTGATAACAAGTCCTTAGGGCGATCCTTTTATCCCCACAGATTTAACTGTTGCATAAGACTATTATCAAAAACTGTGGCTCAACAGTGCCCCCAAGAGCATTTAGGCAGTGCAGGGAAAAGATTTCACCTTCAGAGAGAACAATTTGCTCATTATCACTGTGCTGACAGGTTCCTCCGCTCCAAGGGAAACTACAGTACATGAGAGTTCTCAACGACCTTCCACCTTTTGGGGGGATTCTGTTTAACACTGTTGGATTGGTAATACACATTTTAATATTTTCATTCAAAAATTACTGCTGTGTATTGTTTATGTATTCCTGTGCTCCGTTAAATTTGCTTGCATGCTCTTTGAGCCATGTGAATGTAAACGAGTTCTTTAAACAACAGTAGGACGTACAAGCAATTCTGAAACGTGTGGCATTCTCGTGCAGGATGAGAAACAGTCTGCTACGATGCTACTGGTGGGCCCCCGACATGGCATCAGTCACGTGATCGACCTGAAAAATAACCTCACAACTGTTTTGGCCGAGTTCAGCAGAGTTTCCAAGATTCAGCTGTACAGAGAGAGCCATGGAGTGGCCCGTGTGGAGGTGTCAATCCATGAGGCCAAGGTGTTCCCTTTTGGTTTTAACGTCATCAAAGTATTGCTCTACAATTTTATGTTTTATTTAAACATATTGGAACAAAATAAGAAGACAATGTTTGTTATCTGCTCTCTAATCCCTAACTTTTCTGTTAATCATGTCCCCCAGCCGCTGGTCCTTCTTATGGAATGGCCTGATGCCAGTAACTTTGCATCTCTCCTCTCCGGCTACTACAAGCTGTTTGTAGACCCTAAACGGACTATTTATTTTCGTAACTTTGGTCAGACTCAGTTTGTCAAGCCAGGTAAGAGTTTTGATCAATTAAAAATTTTAAATATAAAACATGATTCAAACAAGTAGGGAGTCATAAACATTATTTAAAAGCTGAAGCTATTAAGCATAACAAATTTAAAGTGAAACAACAGATGTTTTGATTTGCGCCATATTAGACACCGCATGCCAAGAAAAATTTGCCAGTTTTATTTTAAGTTTGGTCAACATGGACATTATTGGACTCGTCTTCTCTGTTGACTAAAGTCACTGTAGTAAATCAGATTTGCCTGGAACTCCCATCTCATGGCGCCCTCTGCTGTCTTTCTTCTCATCTCCATCCTGACTCATTGGAATGGAAAGCCATGTTTCTTTTTCCTGGGGCAGATTGCAATTGTAAAATGCATTGTGCTTTTGGTGTGATCATAAACTTTTAGTGTTCAAACATGAAGACATTCTACACCATCTGCTGCATCAGTCTGTAGAATACATTAAAGAAGAATTGTGCTATCATATCATCACATTATATTAGACTCTAACCCTCCAAACTCAGAAAAATTCAGCTATTAACATCCATCTCTGAAATAATCCCCATCTGACCACAGCTTCCACTGCTTGTCCATCTGGATCTTCTCTATACCCACTTGTTCTTAACACCTCAAACTCTCCACTGCTCTGACAATTCTGTCCTCAGATTACCGAAGCTCCCACCACCCCCACCCACGTTCTGGGGCAACTGGATTGCAAAGTGGAGGGAGGCGAGGGGAGGAGAGAGAAAGCTCACACAGAGAGTCGGGGAGCTCAAGAGCCCTGGTTCCTGCAGAGCCTCAGCATCTGGGCCTGTGTCATGTTCACCTTCGAGAACACCAACAATTTCAGGAGCACCAAGTGCACACTGAGGCTGAACTCGACATCAATGAGAACTTTATTTCTCAAGAGCCCCACGGGCGGCCCCGCACCAAGTCAGACCCCACACAGGAGAGTACAGAAGACATAACTGGGGTTTTAGAGAACCCAGTAGTGGAGAAAGCAGTTTTTCGAGCCAGAGCTCAAACAATGGGTCAATCCAAGAAAGCCTCACGATACTTCTGTGACTCCTGCAAAGCCAGGCTTAGGGCAGAGGGTCTGTCAGCAGTAATGAACAGCAGTGGGAGCTCTGGGAAGCATTGTTCTGGTGCATGTGCCTCCAGAGTTGCAGGAGCTGTTGATCTCACGGCACTTCCACCTCCTGGGAATGAAGAAGAGGATGAGGGGGAAACTGATGGAGGAGCAGAAATGTTGCAGCCACCACCGCCTGCAATTGCTGCCCCACCACCCGGCTTCAGGGATAACAGTTCTGATGAGGATGATCCAAAAAGAGGAAGGAAGGGTCGAACAGGTGCCATGATTGGGATTGCCCCTGGGAAACAGCCACAGACCAAGGAAGATGTGCCTGTGACACTAATTGATAATGTGGCCTCAAGAACAGTTCGAGACCATGCCCAAGAGCTTGACGATGCACTGGTGTCCACCTTACAGGCACTTGAGGCTTTGGCAGCCTCTGAGGACTACCCACATCACCCTCAGCAACCAACACAGACTGCAGGTCAACAGCCTCAGTCATGCCACAGCTCACATTTCACTCAGAAAGCAAACACTTTCAGCAATACCTTTTGATTAGCTAAATTTCACATTGGCAAAATGTGGTTCTGCAAAGTGTGAGAGTCTTTGCAGATTTCATTTTATAGAAACACTTGAGTAGTCTTTATCATGAGATGACAGAGAATGTTTTGTTTAAGCTCCTAAGCTAGAATTGTAGTCAAGGTTAATTGAAAAAGAAATTATACCTTGTATCTGCTTCACATAACTAAAGAAAAAACAGTACTGGTAGATTATAGACATTGTTAATGAAATGTGTTTAATACATTTATACTACAGTAAAGAATTTACATAAATAGCATATTTGTTTCAAAATCTTTATTAATCATGAACCTGCTTTTAAATGCTGTAATACTTTCATAGTAGATTACACCATTTAAGTACATAATAACTGATTTGAGAAAACATTTACAGCTACTTCATCCTTTTTCTATTTGTGATTCTAATCAATATATTTTGTGTTATTTCTTGCTTCTTGAATATACTAACGTTGCACTGCATTCTTGTTCTCCTCAGGGCTGATTGTCTTAGCTGCAATTACACCTGAGTCGTCACTGGATTCAGGTCATGAGACCAACTCTTCTGAACTGGCAGATGTTTCTGAGATGGTGTCAGCAATGAAACAAAACCAGAACCAGACTTATCTGCTCGCTCATCATATCAACAAGGAGCGTATTCTCTGTCGCCGTGACTTTCCCCTGGCTATACCTGGATGCACTGCAAAAACAATAGGAACTGGGGCCTTTTCTGTGGGTCAGATCCGTGCTGGCTGTCCACCCAAGCAAGTAATCCTCAGTAAGACTGTTCCATTTAAAGTCAACCAGCCCAGCCAAGATTCAGCAATACTTAGGGTCATGACAGAGCTTGGGGACAATCAAGGCACTACACAGACTAACCAGAAAGCAGAGATAAAAGCAATCTCTGAGTCTGCCAAAGCAAACAACCTTGATCCCTCTTCTAAGCTACCAGAAGAACTTAACGTGACTGATCCTTTACTGACAGCTCAAGTCAATACAGATCAGAATTTATCCAATTCTTCTGGAGAAACACAAAGCCAAACTCTCCATTATGGTATGAAAGTGAAGACACCAGCACCTCCTTTTGTGGAGTCAATGAAGAAAGCCTTACCGAAAATTTTGGCTGTGGACACAACTGTCCCTGCCAAGATCTCCCACATCAATATGTGCCAAGATGCCATTACTGCCTCTAGTGAGACCATGAAGCCTTCAAGCTCTACAGAACTTCTGCCAGTTGATGACCTTTTCTGCACATGTCCAGTGCAAAAGGAGTCTGCATCTCAGCTAAAACTAAAAGACCCACAAGTACAGAAGATAGTGGTATTTCAATCATCATCCCCCACAGATGATGAGCGACTTCAAGCTAAAGGCCTCCAACTGGCAAACAGCAAAGAAAATGCAGCAAGGGCAGGAACAGATCCAAGTTTGGCAAAACCAAGCCCACAAATACAAACCAAGTTATCCCCTCATTTGCCACCAAAAGTAGAAAACAAGGAAACAACTGAAAACAAAAGTGAGAGTGCCCAGGGAAAATCCCAAGAGTCACAGAAATGCCCAGTAAAGGCCTTACCTATTTTAGATGACCTTACAACACCAAGTCCCTCTGTAGAAAAAGTATCCACTCTCCCAGCCAGAGACTCAGCAAAGCAGGACAATGGTAAGGGGAAGTCTCAAAGGAATGCTCCTTTCTTGAGCTTTAGAAATCTTCTTTCAGCAACATTTCCAGCTCGAATGCGAAGAGAGACTGATGAACGTAGGGCTCAGTTGCAAAAAGTTCGCCAGTATGAGCTAGAGTTCTTAGAGGAGCTTCTGAAACCCAAGTCATCACAGGGAGAATTTTTGCCTCAAGGTTCTTCACCTGTACCATCAGGCACTCCTTGTGCATGCCAGCTTCGTACCAGTCCTGTTCTTAAGGCTCCAGGAATCTCCAGGGAGCAGCGGCGCAGTTGTGACTGTAAGCGAATGTGTAGGGGCATGCGATTACCTGACACACCTGTTGGCACCGCAACAGAGACAAAAAACAGAGGCAGAGAGAGAACTACCTCGAAGACCCCTCCATCAGTCTCCAAAGTCCCTCATGCTGAAGGTGGCACAAGTAGACCTCAAACCTTAGAAATTAAGACCACAAGAATAAGATCTACTAGCCTTGAGTCAAGAGAGCCGAGGGGAGACCTGACCTCCTGTCTGCCTACCTGTACTTCTCAAAATGATTGCATGGGAGGTCCACAGTACAAAAAGCTACAGAGACGATACAGTATTGGTGAGCTGGATAACAGCACTAGCACACCTGTGTATGCAGAAGTGAAGCCCAAAGCTAAAAGTCTGGAGAAGGAGATGGAAAGAGTAAGAGCCACAGGGCTAAGGCTCCCTACTCCAGTAGAACCAGCTCACACACAGTCTCACCAGGTAGAGGGGAAAGGAAAGAAGGGTGTATTTTTTATTCAGGGAGAAGAACTCCTGCGAGAAAGTAAAGAGGGGACTGGGAAAGTGTTGCTTTCCCTGCCCAGTGAGGACAGTGATGACAAAGACAAATGCTGCTCATTCTGTTTCTGTTACAGGAAGTGTGAGGCTGCAGACGAAAGCAGTGAAAAAGATGAACTATCATACTCTATACCACTCCAGGTCCTTCCAGGCATGGAGGTAGACTCATGTAACTTTCCTGTTGTAAGCAAAACACTCCAAGTTCTTCATGCTGAGGATTGCAGTGGAGAAGAAGAAGAAGAAGAAGAGGATCAGGAGGAACCACAGATACAAGACATTGACCTTAGAGCCTGTGGTACACTTGAAGGAAGTCTTGCACGGGTACAAGCTCTGCAAGGGAAAACCTTCAGCTTGCCTGATGGTTTCCTGAATGCTCAGCTGGATGCTAATGAGTTGCTATCAATCTTGCGACAATGTGCCAACAGCCCACAGGCAGAGGGTGAAGCTCGTCTTCAACCCTTGCGGATTGCAGAGTACAAACAGGAGCTGGCAGTGCGCTTCAAGGAGTTCAGAGCATCCTGTCGAAGAGTGGCAAGTGTTGAAAAAAGTCCAACACGTATGCTTGCTGTTGTCTCAGATAGCTTTCGGGTGCTGTGTGAACTAACTAAGACCTTCATCAAATTGGTCCGAGGGGTTCGTTCAGAAACCCAAAGGCTTCAGCTGTTGAAGAAAGTTGAGGAAGTAGCTATCAACTACACTTTGCTTCTGCGTGCAGCAGAGGAGTCCATGGGGCACTCAAGCAGCTTGCCAACAAAGACAGTGAGCCCTCAAGTCCCCTCCAGTACCAACAACATGAGCTCACTCACACGACCCATCAAAACCCTGCCTGTCTAGAAGGGATGAACAAGGCAGGAATGTGGGTTGTTAATCTATCCAAATTCATTATTTATTTATTGTTTACAATTTTTACTTATTCTGGAATGAATCATCCTCGGTAAAAAAAAAATATTGCAATGCAACTGTTCCATCCCGTGTTTACAGGCCCTGAGGTAGCCTTGTTTTGAAAAATGAAGATATACCAAACTAATGCACAATGGATTAAGAACCCTATAACAAACTGGGTGATACAGGGCTAATCACCTCATATCAATACTGAATATAAATAAATCTATTATAGTAAAATATTTTATATGTAATGTATATTTAAGTTGTGTCTACTTAGCAAATAATACAAAGTTTGTCAAGAAAATTGGTGAAGAATATATTTAAAATGTATTTAGGTAAGAGAATTATAAAGAAAAAAGATCTATTATTTATTAGTAATTATATGTATACGTTGGATGAAATATGTTCAGAGATGTTTTCAAGAAGCAACTTCTTGTAAACTGAATAGTCCAAAGGGTTGGCTGGTTAGATGATGATGTGTTTGTGGAACCTGCTAACTGTGTTAATGCAAAATTGATTCCTGTTGCTTTGTTGACAGTGTGTGTGACCATATAAATAAATGTGACGGAACTGAACAATGAAAAGCACGGAAAGATAAGTCTGACATACCCAACTACACTGACTGACAGAAGCATATTCTCTTCTCATTTAAAAACTGCAGGTATGAAACACACCTGCTTAGGGCAGACAATGTAGCAGAGACCCAATTCACAGTTTTATCCACTGTAACATAATGTTATTACCTCACTCAGCTGTAGAGAAGACATGCCCACAGTATAACCAGTAATACAAACTGTTTTACATTATCACAGCTCACTTACATCTCACTGGAACCATAGTTTTAAATATAGACATTCAAACGAGTAAGCCTATAGGATTTTGCACAACCTCTGAAATATCTGCTGAAATCGAAATGTATATTTTAATGTTTGATTGTGTGTTTGAGCCATCTCGCTGCTGAAAATCTTTACTTGAGTCAGCATTGCTGGTCTTTCATAAGTCGTCTCCTCAAAACTCATTCTGACCCTTTTCCAAACTAGGTTTTTGTTTCTATCCAGGTTTTCAGACGCTACATAAAATAACTGCTTTCTATGTGCTGTCACATATTGTGCAATCTAGCAAATATTTAAACACAAAGTAGTTTTCTATGTATTTTAATAAAACTAACACTCAATTTCTTGTCTGAAATCTTCTTTGCCTCTCACCCTCTTGTTTTTCCTGGAAATTAATAGACAGCGATGTTATCACCCACTTCGAATGTTATCAGCCATTAAATGGTCGTTATTAGATGTTATCATCCCCATATGTAGCGGTCAGACTGCCCCTCCTGTACCTCCTAGTGGGTTTAAAAGTATGTTGTTAGCGATGATAATAGACTCCGTTTTTACCTTTGTTAGCTCATCATAGCTTCATGTGGTTAGGTTTAGAGTAAAGGGTCTGGCAGTTAGGTTTAGGGTATGGTTAGGTTTAGACACAAGGGTAAGGGGGTTGAGTTTAGGGTTGGTCCTCTGGGTCAGGTTTTAGCTTACGTTTAGGAAAAGGGTTACATAAGCTGAAAAAAAACACACTTCCTGGTTTACCCACCTGCAACGCTGCCTATTATCAGCAATAATAACGATAATAATGTACCTTTAAACCTACTAGGAGGTAGGTGGGACAGTCTCACCGCTACATATGGGGATGATAACAACTAATAGTGTCCAACAACCCAAGTGTCCTTGTCCTGAAAGGCGCTTTTTAAATTAAAATGATGATTATTATTATTATTATTATAATAACAGCCATTTAATGGACTGATAACATCCGAAGCCGCTCGTGTTATAGCTTTGCTGGCCTATGATGTATTGTGGGTATACTTTTAAAAGACAGTGCTATCTGCTACAACAACACTGCAAACATGAAATGGATAATATTATTTATTCTCAACTCTTTTTTTTTTAATCCATTTGAAAAACCTTGCAAAGCTGTATCAAAAAAAGTTGACTCAAATGTTCCTAAAGTTCTTCACCTGACGCCCACAACCTCTCCCATGAAATTTAATGGCTCTGGTGAGAAAAGGTTAGTTGAAAGATAATGTGAGCAAAGCCAAAAGGTTACAATGTGATTATTCATCAAAGAAACCAACTAATAAATGTTTAAAAAGCAGAAGGAGTCTTGATTCAGTGCATCAGCTTAGGTGCATTTGTGTCAAACGTCAGTGTTTCCAAGCACTTCTTTTAACAGTGTTTCCTTTGCTGCGGAGGTTGCATCTCCACACTGATTATGTGGCGTCTTCTCCCTCATTGTGCTGCATGTTTTCCTTTGCAACTTTCAGAGACATACACAGACATTGGAGGAGAGGATGCTGTACAATTTATTTGAGACTAAACTGAACGTATATAGTGGCCACTTTTACAAATGGTATTCAGTGAAACGAATGATTAATTTTACATTGCAGTTGTAGATAAACGTTTGAGAGAAAATGTGATACTTTTAAACTACTTGTAACGTTATAGGATTTATTCAAACTCGTCGCGATTTTGTACATAGCAGATGTATGTGAGGTAATTATTTATAGCGTTAATGTAACATAGAGACTAATAGCAAAACATATATTTTGAAGACTACGAGTATACAGCATGGGACATGTTTATTTTTATAAATGAAAGTATCAGTACAATTATCCCATGAGCCCACAACGAATTGACGTTACAGTGAACATTCTGTGTGGTTGTCATAGTTTTTGTTGCTTTGCAGTAACAACGTGGATTAGTCTGTTTCATTCACGCGATGAGCCTTCCATGACCTGGTCCATTGTTTGTTTCGTTCTTTTTGTGTGTGTGCCTTTTTTCATTCCTGTCTGATTTCACTGTCAATGATCTTGTCCTCACTGTGGTCCTCTGTATGTGTACAAAGTTAACTCATGTTTTAAAAGCAATAAAATATATTATAGAAACTCACTGAATTCGGAAATGACATTGCATGCACTAAACTTGCTGGAATGCAAAACTATCTGTTAGTATTACTTCACACACACAAAAAAAAACACATGAAACATTATAGTAGCAGGAAATATTATTTTTTCCCCCCTTTGGACTTTTTTCAACTCCTTGAGCAAAGAATTATATTGATTTATCTGCAGTTTGACATACCGGTAATAATCCTCAAGCTAGTAAGGGTACATTTTATTTTTACTTTTACTGTTTAACATTTGCAAAACAAATAGTAATGAACACACAATATGATTTGGCTAATATAAACTTTATTTCTTTTGCTTTTATTTTATCACAATGCCGTGATGCCTTCCTTAGCAAATTCAAAATAATATTTTAGATAGTTTTAAGATGCTGAAAGGTTATAAACAATTAATATCTTGTAGGTTTGATAAGTAAATGGCTAATCCAAGTGAAGCCATGACACAAGAGGATTGTTGATTGGGGGAAAAACTGCTAAAATTTCACTGCAATTTATGCCAGCAGCAAAAAAAAGTTTTTTGTTTTTTTCATGTTAGATTATGCCAGTTCTATGAGCTTCAAACAGGATCTTTAAAAACAAATATCTATAATTCAGTTCTCTTAAGTCAAAAAGGACATTGTGGGTATCCAAAAGGCCATTTGTCCAATCCACAATCAACATTTTGGTTGTACAAATGTCGATCTGGTGACACTTTTATCAGTTATGTGTACTGAAATTTTGTTCAGCACAACTCCAAAAATATTTTTGTTGTTGTTGTTAGTTCATTACCTTTTTTCTTTAAGTTGGTTTTGGTTGCTAAGATTTGTGATGAGCGTTTTATTCATGGTAAGTACTTATGTTATAAAAATTATAATGTGACTGCAAACTGATTACAGCTGGAATCATTTTATTTAGATAGTTGCTAAAAAAAATAATTTGTTGACCTTTGTGGAATAATTTATATTTAAGCTTTTTTTTAAATATAGTTTTTAGTACAGATAAATATATAGATGCACATTTAAAAATAAAGACTGCTCACGAATCACAGTCTTACTACAATTATGCACATTCAACTCATCTAACAAGGTTAAGTCACGTCCTCTGGACGGATTCTTCTTGTTGAAACGTTACGTCTTTTATCCTAAAGACTTCTTCAGTCTGAAGAGCCGAAACAAACTTTGTCGTTTAAATAGCACCTTCTCATTGTGGATCAATCAGTTCTACATTCAACCACACTCAACTCACCTTAGCTATAGGAACGAAAAGAATTTGACACCAGCCACACAGCTTTGTACCCAATGTTTGCCTCTCATGTGTCTGCTGACTCAAGGGCCTTGAAACTTTCCGCTCCTGTTTAATGTGACAGTTTGTGTTTTATACAGTTAGCTACAAATGTCACAATATATAAAGTATGTGCAAATCCTTTATAAGCAGGGACTCAGTTGAATATCTTTCAGCAAATACAAGAGGACACAACGTTAGTGTGTTTTATTCTGGATAGCACCTGGTTTGATAGCACTGCTGATGGAAGGTTATGACAGAATAAAGAGAATCAACTACATGCACCTCAGTATGGCCAAACTAGTGTAGATATATTTTTAAAAACCTAAAGAGAAAAACTTGTTTTTATTATGTACAATTTTTTATGTTATCTTAGATTTTTTTATTTCAATTCTTATTAGTAAGCATGCCATTTGGAGGAGGTGTGCTATTATTAATGGTATTGATGATTACCGGTAAGTATTGAACACTCTTATTGTTATTCTGCTCAAAATGTGTGTCCTGTATGTAGATTGACATAAAACATGCAAATTACATACCGAAACGTCTGGCTCCATGAGGAACAGTATGATATGACTTTTGGTGGCACTGCATCACACAACGTTGTGCAAGACACTGCGACAAAAATAAAGATCGGTGAGATTTGAGCAAAAACACATGAGAAAACCCAGCCAACTTTGGAGCTCTGTAGATAACGTTTACAGTTTTGACACAATCACAGTTTAAGTTTTGTGATTTTACAGATTTTTTTTCACAGCAACTGCCAGATACATAGGTCAGATATGGAAGTGGTTTGAAAAGACAGTAAACAAAGTGAAACAGAGGAGGACGACTTGCTGTGGTGACCTCTGAAGAGGGTGCAGCCAAAAGAAAAGAAGACATTTGACTGACAGTTTATAATGTCTAAAAAATTCAAATCTTTCACAAACAAACCATTCTTGCGCCTATAACACTTTTGGTGCACCTGCAGTGTCTTTCACTGCTGGGACTGAAGGTCTGGACTTTTCCAAATTGAATCTTGCTGATTTAAGTTGAGATGTTCTTTTTCGCATTGACTATTCATATCTAGAGAAGTCCTGATGAAGTCCTCCCACCGCAACACCCGTCACATGCAAGCAGAATCAACACAGTTTTGTATTTAGTTGATGATGGAGGAGTTAGCAGAGGAACATAACATTTCTCTGGTTAACCGAGGTGCGGCACAAATTTGAAAATTCGTCACAAACAGTGCCACCATTTCCGACAGACAGTGCAGGAACGTTACCCTGCACTCCCTCCAGGCCATCACCACCATGTCTACATGGGAGAGACACACTCCCAGTCAGCACAACCATGCGCCACCAGTGTCTCTGTCCAATCTCGTTCCATGAGTTCTTTGACTATCTTTGTATATTTTATTTGACTTTCTTATCATTTTTGCTGGAACTGTTGTAATGATCTTTGTATTTTCCAAAAGCCTCAACCAACTGCTCCTCAGCAGATGCTGCTCTCCAAGATCAGCTGACTGCTTCTGACTTGAGGCCAAACACAAGACGGAGTGCAAGTAGAAAACACTATTTTATAAAATTTCAAGTGTGACTATTAAGACAAGATGGCATTGGAGTTTGCTGACATTATTGCAGACAGTCTATTTCTCATGGACCTTTTATACTCAACAGAAAACCACAAGGAAGAAATCCTGATAAGTCCTCCCACTGCAGCGCACGTCATGCACGATCAGAATCAACACAGACCGCACGGTTTTCAGAGTGGGTGTTTATTTTCAGATGGAGTTGGAGGAGGAAGATCTGACATTTCTGTTGTTAACCGAGGAGACACACCATTTTGTAAATTTATCACAAAAAGATAAGCCGCTTTACATTAAAAAATCCATCCAAGCTCTGACCAAATGCATAATGCTGTGACTAGTTCTGCCTGGAGGCAATGCAAAAGATGGGGGTGTCAGCAGGTAAGAGTAGAATAATTACATTTTTGTCATGCACCAGTGGCAACAAGACATAAGAATGGAGCTTCTCAGTGACTATAAACCAGCCTTTAGTCTTCCGAGTTGAAGAATTTTTAATATGCAACTCAATTTTCACGTAGTGACAATTTGTTTGAGATGTGTTTTCAGACTACTTTTCTGTCAGCCTCTCATTAACTTGGCAGTCAGGGACTGGGACAATTGTTTGAGATTATCATGGTGACCACAATGAGAGCTTTTAATATATGTTTTATCTTATCCAAAAAAGTTCAATCTGATCCTCTGGACATTCAAAAAAACAAAAAATAAAACAAAGCAAAAAAAT